TTTGTTACAACATTAGATCTGTGTATACTTACCTTCCCCAACTTTCCTTCTTGTGCAAAATTTTGGATATGTAAGTCTTCCCCACATTTCTTCTTGTGCAAACTTTCAGATGTGTACCTCTCCCCTACATATCTTACTGTGCAAACTTTCAGATGTGAACATCTCCCTACATTTTTTCTTATGTAAACTTTCAGATGTATACATCTTCCCTACATATCTCATGGTGCAAACTTTCAGATGTGCACGTCTGCCGTGACCCCGGTGAACCCTGACCGCGTGCTGGTGTTGGTGGAGCAAGGTCAAGGCCGCCATGTCCCCGACTACGTGCTGGCGGTGTTGGACGAGGAGAAGTTGGTCAGACTGCGCAGCCTTAACGAGGAGCTGGGATACGAGCAGAAACAGCGCATCAAACATCTCATTTTGTCGTGAAACAAATAGGGCATCAAACTTCACATCTTGTCGTGAACGATATACCGCATTAAAATATCATCTTGTCGTGAACGATACAGCACACTAACATTTTATCTCAGATACAGCACATCAAACATCTCATCCTGTTGTGTCATGAACGATATTATATCGCATCAAACATCTTATCTTGCCCAGGGCAATATTATATCAATCATCTCATCTTATCATGAACAATTGTATATTGCATCAAACATCTAATTTTGTCATGAACAATATTATATCGCATCGAATATCTCATCTTGCTGTGAACGATACAGCGCATTAAACGTCTCATCTGGCGAACATGGTTGCAGTACAGATAAACTATCACATATAAAATCCCGTCCTTCGATGTCTGACGATGACCAATACATCCGCTAAAGAGAAAATTTCTCCTGTTTCAATATTAAGATATGGCTTCTGCTGTGGCCGATGAGACCAATTCTGGATGAGAAAGGTTTGCCACATTTTGAACATTTAAAAGTTCCACTTCCTCTTGTGGATGAGCGCAGCTTGTGGGCTTCTCTCTTGGTTTTAGCATTGTTATTCGTGAAACCCAACGCCTACTCTAACTGTTAGAGTAGGCGTTGATGAAACCTCATAATTTGCTACCCACTGTGACTGCTTCTCTCCAGCTGGGTCTGTCACGAGCAAAGCTCTCATGTGTCGATGAATATGCTGAAGTCCTCCAGAGACATTTTCAGGGTGTCCTCGTAGCGCTTTTTTTGAGCGCCAACCTTACTCTTCCATGAGGACAGTTCAGAATAGAATGCTGCCTTTCGGAATTTGGCATTATTTATTTTTACAACATGGCCAGCCCAGCGAAGTTGAGTTCTTTTGAGTTTAGAAAGCAGACTATCGGCATTTGTCCGTTTTTGAACTTCGATGTGCGATATTTTACCTTGCCATTTGACACCAAGAATTCCCCTGAGGCATTTTAATACGGAAACGATTAAGCTTCTCGGCATATTTTGGTACACCGTCCAGTTCTTGGCACCATATATACTTTTATATATATATATATATATATATATATATATATATATATATATATATATATATATATATATATATATATATATATACATATATAGACACACACTCACAAACACATATGTATAGATAACATAATGCTTCATGGAGCCTACTTACTTTTTCAAAGGTAATATTTGAAAGTGTAGATCTATAGGCCTACCGGGGTGAGCACAATTATAAAAGTAATGTTAACTTTTCTCTTTTCTATGTTTGAACTGTTCCTAAATTAACTTTGTCTGGATTTATGCATTCAGCGTGTCACGGCGCATTTTGTACATACGTACTATCAGTTTCATATCAGTAATTATTATCTTTCTTAACTTTAAAAAATTCTTTTCCAAGTGTTTTTTTCGATAACGTGCGAAAAGGACCACTCAATCATTTTTACAACTAGGTAAACTTTAATCATACATTATGTGTTCCATGCATGCTTTTATTAAAGTAAGAAAGCTTATGCTTCGTATTACAGTCAATAACTTTAAAATGTTTTTAACTTTTCTTGATAATAATTTTCCAAGCAACCTGTCAAATAAGTTGAGAACAAAATATACATTGAAAAAACATTTTAATTGAATTTAGTGGCTTTACAAAATGGGAATTAAAAGCCCGAGGATTCCTATTGTCTTTGAATGTCTCAAACTTTGGTACACTGTCACTTACTGCATCCAGACATGATAAATTAGTTAATGGACTGTCATAACAATCATCATTGACATTGTTAATTTTACTTTTTATACTGCCTTTTGCTGGATTTGCACTCGGCCTGAAATTTTAGAAAAGAAAAGTGAGTACATGTACCTTGTTAACTTTTATATTTTCAAAACTTTTCCTTTTTCTATTATTATAACCCTTGTTCCTGCATAGTGTTTTTCTGATTCAATAAAAAAAAAGTCTACTTTCAAAATCTTTGGATTTTTTTGTCATTGTGGTTCGTAAGTTAAGTTCGAAATGGTTTAACTTAATATATTATCTTGCCTGATAGTTCCAACTTTGTTATGTTACTTTAGTGAGTTTT